CTACGGGCCTGACATACTAACTACACTACATTCCTCCTCTACTTGGATTAAAAATTATATTCGTCTGCGTCAACTTTAGACTCTTTCAGTATCTAGACACATCGGCTAAACTGGACTTCTAATGAAAACCTTTATGCGTTAACCAAACTTGTTCATCAGTTAAACATTTAAAAACAGTAATCTCTACACTAGTAGTAAGTCACAATATAAAATCCATTTCTTTAACAAACAGCTATGTTTTAACCTACAGCTCCTAACGTCGTCTGTAAGTTACCACGAATCTAAATATGCATAACAAACTCTTTGAAACGCGCAGGCGCTTGCTTGGTACGTGTAGAGCGTCTGACGTTCCCCTCTGCGTTGTCGCGTAGAGCATCGTGTGGTTCGTCCAATGGTAACTTCACCATTGCTTCATCATCCATTTCTTCTCCATTCGCGACTGGATGTACGCGTTTGAACTTCGAAAGATTGCGTGTTATCTCATGATCTCCCTGCTTAGCTGTTACCATGCTCCCTTTTCGATTCTGCACCTTGTATGGTCGTGGATCGTACGGTGTAGACAGCTTATTCGACCTTTGCTGCTTCACTATGACCGTATCACCAATTTGAATCCTACTCTCTCTTGCATGGCGTTAGTAGTCAGCATAGGACTTCATCTTGTCCTTCCTCCGCTTATCGACTGCACGAATATCTCGAGCTTCCCTGTCTCCCTGAAGGTTAGTTTCTGGTAGTTGTATCTTCATCTTTCGGTTGTTAAGGGCTTCTGCTGGTGACACCCCAATGCTCGAGTGCGGCGTCGCTCGATATCGACGAAGAAATCGAACTAAATCGCGCTTCCAATTTCGACCTTCGATGTTAGACACTCGGATTGTCTTATTTAGTGTTCTCATGAATCGTTCAGCTTCTCCATTTGCCTGTAGCCACAACGGTGTAATACGTCGATGATGAAATCCCAACTCTTCTGCAAACGATGAGAATTCTGCACCATTAAACGGTGGTCCGTTGTCGGTTTTCACTGTACCTGGTATACCTTGCCTGGCAAATATGCTATCTAGTTTAGGAATTGTGGCCTTCGAAGATGTACTTGTCACCAGCTCTATCTCTGGAAACCTACTATACTCATCTACCACTACTAGCAAGTATTCTCCCATCGGAAATGGACCGGCAAAATCTACTGCCACTTCTTTCCATGGTCCGCAAGGTAGTGTTGTCATCTTGAGAGGTTCTGGTCCTTCTGCGTTGTTGGCGGTAGCAGCTTGGCATGGCAAACACTGCTTAATTCGCTCTTCCACCAAAAGATCTATACCCGAAAACCAAACTTTCTCGCGTAACAAGCTCTTGGTCTTGACGACACCTTGATGTCCGACGTGGGCCAATTTGATTGCTTGCTGACGTAACGAAACTGGCAACACAATGCGTGTGTTCCTCAGCACCAAGCCATTGAAGACTGCTAACTCATCCTTCACTGTCAGATATGGAACGAGTTCCTCCGAGTGGCACGTGGGAGGGCCCCTTTAACCGGATGAAAGTTTCGCTGTCTATGATGTTCACTGATGCCCCTGTGTCAACAGTCATTCTTACGACTTTCCCCTCTATCTTTACGTCGCACGTTGGTAGCTTGTCCCCGTGCTGTCTCGCACCAAACGTGTACTCATCGTCTGAGGAATCCGACTGATGTGCTTCCATCCCCGCTGTAGAATGCTTGTCCTCTGTGACGTGATACGCTGACTGTTCTCTTCTCTGTCTTGATCTACACACTGCAGCGAAGTGGTTAAGCTTCCAACATGATCTACAAGACTTGCCCCTGGCTAGACATGGCTTACTTTGGGGGTGTGGATACAGTCCACCACAATTACGGCACTTAGCCTTCCTACCCACCAGTCGTGAGGGGTTCTGTATCGGTGCAGTAGCTTCCGTCGGCTTTTGTCGAGCCTGCTGTTTTTTATGAAACGGTTTTGAATGAAGAGAAATGACGGTCCTACCATCATTGTCACCTTTAATACCACTTTCCTGTGCTTCTGACAGCTCTAGTGTTCTACCATATACTAGCAGTTTGGCCAGTGTCAAATACGTTTCCCGTAGAGCACGTCGTCTTAGCCGTGATGACTGACATGACTGAACAATCTGTGTTTTGATTTCCCGATCGCTGTCTGCAAACTAACATGTCATCGCTCGTTGTCTTAGCCGTGTGTGGTATGTGTCCAATGACTCACCAACAGCTTGTTTCTCCTTTCTGAACAGGTAGACTTCATACTCCATATTTCTTTTGGGGTCGAAGTAGTTCGTCAAACTGTCACGGGCGAGCTCAAAGTCATCTTCACTCCCTGTGTCGGGCAGCGTGATGAAAACTTCATACACTTCGTCACCAGCATAGTGTAGCATGATAGCTCTTTTTCGTTTTGGCGTGGTTATGTTTAATCCTATCATCAGATTCTCCAACTTCGCCACCCATTTGGCCAATCTCAGTCCAGTGTTGCCACTGTCCGCGTGCACGGCGAACGCTGGAAATTGTGGTAGGCCGGTTGTCATTCTCCGTTTCCTATTGAATCAGCGTTGAGGTACGCTCACCCAGCTTTCTGTATCGCCATCGCTCGTACGTAAGCTTGTACACGTAGGCTTCGATCGATATGGCAGGAAAACACAATCACCCTCAGGGCCGGTGGAGCCGGTCCGGCAAGTTCGGCCATGGCCGGACCAATAATTTTTCCGATCATTATTTTTTTCAAGCACACATTTTCGTTATGCACAGGCCGGATCTACAATTATTGCAATCCCAAGCATATAATGATCTGAAATCACATATAGTTTATGTATACATGCATATATACTACTACATGACGTTGTTTTCATGTTTATAAACACTGACGTTATATGCGCACATGCGCAGTTTAACGGTTGGCAGCAAGCAGATGCGTGATATTGTTCGATACAAGCACACGCACGCACGCACGCACGCACGCACGCACGTGTACGTACACACGCACGTACGCACACACTCATGCACGCACGTGTACGTGCACACGCACGCAAGCACGCATGCACGCACGTGTACGTGCACGCGCACGCACGCACGCCCGCACGTGTAAGGCGATACGACGCCGCACTCACCACCGCACGCAGGGCACCACGTGTGACGTTCACACGCACCGCTACGCACGCCAACGGCGGCACGTGTCAGCGTACACACGCACGCAGACGCATGGTACGCACGTTAAGTGGCATGCACACGGCATGCAGAAAGTGTACTGCACACGCGGCACGTGTAGTGACACGACGCACACATGTAAGCAGCGTGTGCGCAGCGCACGGCACGCAGCGCTGCTCGCGTATACGTGCACGACGCCGCACGCCACGCACGCATGCACGCACGTTTTACATTACACACGCCCGCGACGCACGCCCGATGCATGCACGACTGGGTTGTACGTGCGACGCCCGCACAGCACTGCACATCACGTGGCGCACAGTGCTCGCAGCGCCGAACGGCGACGTGTACTGGTCCACACACGGGCGTCACGTACACGCACGTAAGCACTCATGCACACACGTGTACCTCACCCGATCGCCGCATGCCCGCACGTGTGCTTGCACACGGCATTTAAATTTGACATGTAAATTGGCGACTGCGCGAAATAATTGGGCGCTATACTGGAAAGTATAAATTACAATTTGTTAGAGTTTGAAAAGTTCTTTAAGGCTCTAAAACGGGCATCTGTGTCTTCACATTTTCTACGAATTTTCTGGGGGGACGCCGCGCACACCCCCGTTGACGAGGGCAAAACGCCGAGCGCGGGGAGGGTCGCGGGTCCCCGCCACGGCTGAGCAGGTGGCACCTGGCTCGGCCAGCTGTTCGTCGACTTCTGTTATTGAATGCATAAAGTGGCCTGACCAATGTGTATGTTGCTTCCGTCGGCCCTGACCCTGAGAACGTTTTCAGTTTCCATTTCAGTTTCAATTCGTTGCTAGACAGTGAGAAGCAAACGCTGGCGCTGCGTCCAACTGGCCATCGCGGGACTGGGTATTGCACTTTGACATGCCGCTTTTTCTCCGTATAGACTGTGGCGTTTTGCTCCCTTTGTTTTCAAGCCCTGTCCAAAACCTGTCCTCTGGATATCCTACTGATGCTGTTTTCACCCACCTTTCAGTTCCTCGTCGCGGCAGAAATATAGTGTTGTTATCGTCTTGCCTCTAGGCAGCTCAAGTAAAACGACGTCTGTTCTGTCATCGCACAGGCTCCGACCCGTGATTGTTTTATTCCACAGTCACGTGTTGCATATCCATAGTAGTCATAGATCACGTATTAGTAAACGAATCAGCAGTAAAGCATAACCTACTAACTACAGCATACCACACACGCAGGCACGCCACGCGACAGCAGCGCTCGCACGCACCGCGACGCTACACGCAACACACACACACACATGGCACACACCACACACACTAGGCACAGCACACACAACAAACAAACACAAGCAGACACCACAGCAGACACACAGACACATAGCACAACACAGGCAGCACACACCCACACACAACAACACCACACAGCCGCACACACAGCACATGATATATAATCAGGATGTATATAAGTATGGGGGATTCCCTATTATCTACTCCTGACAGGCCCGTAACCCGGGGGGATCGGGTGATCGGACGGGATCGCCCCCCCCCGCGGAACAGAGAGTTCTCTCTACAAAATAAAAATTGCAGCAAAAGAAAGCACGCCCAAAGGTGGGGGCGGGGGGGGGGGGGGTGAAATTGGATTCGTATCTATTGTCTAGCTGTATTATTATTGTTTATGTGTTTGTATATTCAGCACCAGTGATCATATCTGAATAGGGAAGTCATCTATTATCCACGGCATTCTTTCCCATCTATGTATGCAATTGTAAACAAGCAGCCATGAGGGCGCGCCATAGTATACCAGGCGCCGCAGCAGTCATGACGCGTATGCATCCGCGGGGCGCGGCGTCGCGCGAACGCGTGCCGGGTCCGCCGCGGGCCAGTGATAGCGTCGCGTGACGCGCGCAGCGGTGGTCTGCGCGCGGCAAGTGAGATATAACGCGCGCCGCGGCGCCGCGTGATGCAGGCCCGGCTGTTTTGGGGTGGTGTAGGATATGTTTACAGGGCACTTCTAATTTACGACATATATTTTAAATTGTAATTAGGGTTAAGTTAGGGTTAGGGTTAGGGTAGCGGTTAGGTTCGGTTAGGGCACTTTTAGGGTTTTTGCATCAATTTTTTAGATATATCGTAAAATATAGTTGAAATTAGAAGTGGCCTAGTAAACATATCCTACAACCCAAACAGCCCGGCCTGCTCGCTGTGATAGAGGTCCACGCGCGGCGCGGGCGTCGTGCGGCGGTGAGTATATACCGCGGCGCGCGCGGCCCACCGCGGCACACGCGTAGTATGCGGTGCGGCGGTGATATATATCCGGCTGCGCCCATCCGCGCATCAGCGTAGTATGATGCGGTGCGGGCGCGGTGATATATACCGCGCGCGCAGCGCGGCCGCGCCAGCAGTAGTAATGGCTGCGCGCGGTTATATATACCGCCGCGCGCGCGCGATGGTCCGCGAGCGTAGTGATGCGGCGCGGCTGGTGAGATATCGGGCGCGCGCTGCGCCCCCCGGCGCAGCGGTCAGTATGCTGTGGCGTCGGGATTTACCTGCGCCCGCGCGCGCAGCGCGGCACAGGCGGTAGTATCGGCGCGGCGGTGATATTATATCCGCGCCGCGGCAGCGCGCGCGGCACAGCGGTGTAATCGCGTGCGGCGAGATATACCGCGCGCTGGCCCTGCGTGCGGCGTGATAGAGTCCGCGCGCGCAGCGGTGGTATGGGCGGTGCGGCGTGAGATATACCTGGCGGCGCGCGCCCTGCGGTGGCGACGGTGATCTGCATCAGTAGTGCACCGCCGCCGCGGCCTGAGGGTGGTGTCCTTCCGCACTTTCGCCATTTCCGCACTTCGCCATTTCCCATTTCGGCTCAGTTTCCCATTTCGCCATTTTCCCACTTCGGCCATTTCCATTTCGTCCATTTTCCACTTCGGCCAGTTTCCCATTTTGCATATTTGTTATGTTGCTTCCAGCGCCCCCCCCGCACCGAAATTGATCCTTTCCATTTTTTAAAAAGAGTCATTTCTAGGGTTAGGCGATTAGGTTTAGGGTTTTAGGGTAGGCTAGGGTTAGGGTTAGGGTTAGGGCTGCGTGTACA